TATATACATACTAATATATATATATATATATATATATATATATATATCATCTGTAGCTAGCAATGCAATATATGATGTCTGCAAAAACTTTTTTAAAATGACGTAGGAAGCTATAGATATTTGTATTTCACGGGGCGTGGGCAATCCTTCTCCTTGTGGATATGTGTCCTCATGTCGACTATTCTTCAAAGAGTTGTACTTGGCCGTACGTCCAGGTGTATTGACTATCGTATTATCGTATACGGTGCAAGTTCGTAGTATTGAACGCCTGAATTTTTTTTTAATATGAGCGGATTCAGTACTTAACAGGCAAATTTGTCTCGCACCAAACCTCCATCGTATTGCACGAATGGTCTGGTTTGTTTGCAGGATGGGATGAGTCTCAGCGCAGCCGCTGAGCAGATTGGCAACTATAGCATGAACGACGGTGGGATGGGTAACTTCACCGCACAGGAACAGCAACGGAGGAACTTGCAGCAACAGATGCAGCAGCAGATGTTCCAGGGAGCGGCGAATGGTCTGTTTCAGGTACAGTTAATCCTCTATCTTGTCTACATCTAATTGTATTCTCTTTGTCTCAGGGGCATATCGGCGCTTAGAAGCATTGTATATTCTGCTCGCTTACGTATTGGTTATCTACCTGTACGTCTGTCCAGTTTGGCTTGAAACTAGCTTTGAAACAATTTTGTGGTTTGACTATACTGTATGTCTATATGTTACTCAAATTCTCTGTGAAGGGTACAAGTATGCTACCGTTCGATTTACATCTCAGTTTGTATCGGGCTATCCACATCTTGATCAACAAAGGTGTATGTAAAGTGGTTTCCATGTTAAGTGCATATTTTATTTACTTATCGACATTGCCCATTGTCTCCTTCTCGAAACCCAATATTAAATCCCTGTTGATTACAAACCACGTTACAGCCACAACAGATCATTCCCACAGCCCCGTTGTATGGCATGTACCAGAATGCCGGTGGTACCAAGATGTCTGCCGGAGGTGGTGTGAAGGAAGCGCAACTGCAGTCAACGAGTAACCAGAACATAGTTTGCACCAAGTTACCGTTGCATTGGCGATGCAATAAGAGTTTCATGACCTCGTTTCTGGTATGTTACTTACGTATATGAGAGTTTCTCGACCTCGTTGCTGGTACGTCATGTATATTGCAATTTAATTACTTCCTTTGCGGTTTGCGTTGTACCTATGTTTTCAGAAAAATTTCCGTCTTTTGGGCTATATCTGTTGTTTTCGGATGTGTTGCCCCCTTTTTTGATTCACTCACCCAAATGTGAATGATAATGCCAGTGGCAAGCTGGATTCTCACACATGTAAGGCTACTCTCTGTATCTCAATCGAAGCACGAACAATTCATTGTCATTCTCACTTTGTCATTCTCACTTCCTTTCTCATACCCTTCAATTGAACTCTTGGTCGCACTCTTTCTCATATTAATTCTCGTATTTATTCTGATTTTCATTCTTATTTTAGTTTTCATTGTCACTCTCACTCTCAATCTCATTCTCATTCTTATTCTCATTCTGATTCAAATCACACTCTCAATAAGGTATACGCGCTGTGCATAGTGCCCGATGGGACTGAATGCACCGTACACGCTCAGAACGAGGAGGCTTTGTTCTCGGAGATGAAGAATAACTCAGCCACTATAGTCAATGGCGTGGCCACATTCGAAGATCTGCGGTTTGTTGGGCGCTCGGGTAGGGGAAAGACGCTGACAGTGACAGTCAAGATACTCACACACCCGCCCATGACGGCACAACTGTTCGATCATATCAAGATCACGGTGGACGGTATGTATGGGTGTTACTTCTTACAAGTTGGTGGTGGAGTTGTTACTTACAGGTTGTGTGGTACAGGTTGTGTGCACGTGATCACTTGTGTAGATGTTACAACTTGTGTAGCCTGTGTAGGTATTACAACATGTGTATGTGTTACAACACGTGTATGTGTTGTGTAGTCGTTGCGCTGTGAAGGGGTGCGTCTAGTTGACCGTACGGCGATCAGTCGGAAACGACTAGTTAAAGATCTCTGCTGTTCGCGTTGATAGGTATGATCTCTGGATGATACAGTAGACAATACAGTCAGCCTCTTATCACCGTACAGTGTTGAGAAGCACTTGTACAAATAAAAAAATAATTAGATGCATCGCAGAGCGATAGTGTACAAGAATCTACAGTTTCGCATTTGAGATCAGAAAGGGATCTAAGAACAATTTCGACGGTCATTGTAGATACACAGAACCGCGCAGAAAGAATCTATGGTTGTCCATTTGTTAGGCTGAGAAGTGTATATCAGATTTACAGTCGTAGTGGTCGGGTTCGGGAAGTACTTGGCAACTGATTCTTTTACCTGTCAAGTCCCAGAGCACGCAGACGTATGATAGTAAACATTGATATATAGTTCTATAACAACTAAAGGCTTTGTATTAATCGGCCTCCAATTTATCTTTCCTGTGTTATTAGATTATTCACTTAACAATGGCCCATAAATTTGTTTTCCTTAGGAGTCCTACAGAACCGCGCAGACGCTTGTTTCGGATTGTATACTAAATAGGACTTGGTAAATAGTGATCTATAGTATTGTAAATAGTCTGTGAATTGATTGGCTACTATTCCATTTTTCTTGTAGGTCCCAGAGAACCGCGCAGACGCTTGAATAGGCTGAGCAGTGGTGACGCCGGGGGAGCGTCTCCGAAGAGTTTGAAGTCTAATTTGGCCAATCCAAACAGTTCCAGTACACTAAGTAATTCAAGCTCGTTCTCTAAGCGCTCGACTGCCTCGAAGACTGAGACAGCCGGTAAGTTTTTGGCTTTACGTTTTGAATGTATGTTAAATTTCTTAGTTATTGTCATGATAACTGGTTTATGGTTTGCAGTGTGTTCTTTGTTTGCATTTGTTCGCTCTATCACTAGCTTGCGGATATGACTATATATATATATATGTATA